CAAAAAACAAATGGTTCAGGTCATGGGCCTGAACAATTGTGGTGAAATATCCAAAAATTATAAAATGCAAAAAAGGAATAATTAACATGAAACCCAAGGCAGAAAAATGTAGTATTGGGGCAACTTCCCTATAGTTAGATTATAAATCTTGGCTCGTTTTAGACCACACTGGGTGCTAATTCAGCTCAAAAACTGAGCGTTTTGGGGGTTTGTGCCCCATCAAAACTTTTCAAGGTTGTTGGTGCATAGACCTCCCTGCAGCTTTTCTGCTATGACATTGTGGCTTACAACTGCAATTATTGGTAAAACATTGCTGTAGCTCTAAGACTGCCCATCAGAGCTGTCAATCAGTAAGTCCAGCAAGACTTCCAAGTTCCTGGTGTTAAATTTATCCATGGGTATATACTGAATGCACATGCATAACTTGCGCTTAGCTCGACAGCAACTTTGCCGAAGGCTGCACATATCCCAGTTTTCTAACCAGTGATAACAGTCATGCTTGGATGTTTTTTTAGCTTCCAAAGCAGTTCTATTCATGCTATAGGATTGATGATAATAAACTACATATTCAATAAATCCCTACTGGGACCCCTTTGACCAGAAAGGGATGTTCCTGGTTGGAGGTTTCTTTCTGCTGTGGGATGCATCTGTCTGCTCCAGCACACAGACTTACTAAACAGAAAAATAGCAATTTACTTAATTTTGAATGTGTTCTCTGTGTTATGTATTGAAAAGCAGGTAGTTTTTCCCCATACTTTGACCTTTTAATTATATTTATAGATAATTGAGGCTCATTACTTTAAAAGTTAAATAAATAATATTTATTTGCAAAAAATGTATTCACCAGCAATGTAAACTCACCTGCTAAATATAGGGAGACACCAAGGCAGAACAGGCAGACAGCAGATTGACGAATACTCCGGTTATCCAGCAGGAACCAGTCCCCCCTAGATAGGGCACAGCATTAGAATATGACTTTAGCATTGGGGAGAGGCTACAGACTTATAAAAAATTAAAGAATATCTTCACATTGGAGATTAATATGTACTTCAATGAGTCAATTTAACTATTATCTCATAAACCTTCATCTCAATATTGTCCAAATGCCTCAAAAAACACATTCCTTGACCTTCCAAAGTTCAGTCCCCTACCACTTCAACTCATCTCACCTCGCAACCTGCTCAAACTCCCTGCTGCAATTTAAAGGAACACTCCAGGCACTATAACAACTTCATGTAATTGAAGTTGTCATGGTGCCAGGAGCTTCCTGCCGCCAGCTTACAATTAGTAGTTAAAACATCAACAGACAGTTTAACCCAAGAGTGTTAAGTCCAGCACCCGTTAGTTCTGCCCCTCTCCTTACGATTGGACAGGGTTGCCACTGACTGACTGAGAGCATCTGATGACATTCTAAGCCAATCAGTAGTTCCCCATTCACAAAATGGCTTGAGAAACACACATATTTTTCTGAAACTGTTTTGTGAAAGGAAAACTATGTCCAAGGCTTCCGGATTCTAGATTTGGACAATAGAGGAAGGAGAAGACTAGATTCAAAACTTTGGGGTTAAGCAATTCATTAACAGTTTAACCCTTAAAGGTAAGCAAGTGCCAGGGACCTCTTGGCCCCATAAGTTGTTATAGTGCCTGGAGGATCCCTTTAAGGTGATATGGGCTGACATTAAAAAGCCATGTATCATTATAGGGCTGTTTTTAGTTATGGGTCTCTTCACAATGCCAGATACACTGCTGTAAGGGCCTATGGATTTAGGTGAAGTTAGGGAATAGTTAGGTTTGAAAGGTTCAGGTTTTAGGACTTCTTGCCTTCAGGATGCTCTTACCCTGAAACCTTAGTCACTGGAGTTACATTTTATAGCATATATTACCCCTAAAATACAAAGCCTCCTCAAACCAGCCAAGGAAGCATCTACAAATATGTAAAATGCATTCAATTACATATAGTCTTTTCCACACCGGTCTACCTGATATACAGTTTTGTCTATATAGTAGACAGTGGGCTGTCTATATAGCAGCTGCAATTTTTACAAATCATTGCTGTGATAAGCTAATTTTAATGTATTGTGAATGGGCTCAGCAAATTGTAAGTACCATGCACTTTGAAAAATTGCAATGTGCTTCTGGTGCTTGGCCTGATCCCTTGTCTAAATTGTCTCAGCTTCATGAATGGCATTACCAAGGAATCCTTACTTTCATTTAATAATGACTTTGGAAGCACAGCCACAAATGTATCCCTGCAGGCATAACAGCTAATTAACAATTCCTTTTTTAAGGGGTATTTATGTATGTAGAATTATGTCTGAGTTGGAGTACATTGTCCTGAAAGGGGGAGTTGTACATATGGCTATATGGCGTTTTTAGACACCTGGCTACCATCTGCCACATGTCCGTGGTAAAACAATGAACTATTTTTCAAATTTTACCCATTTCTTTTGTTTATGTACAGGCTACAGTTCTGCCATCTGTAAACCAAAATTATGTTTCACTCTGACATTTGCTCCAGTCCTCCCTGGACCCCTCAGGGGGTCTATTCACAAAACAGAGTTTAAATATCATCTCATTATTTTGTGAAATTAAATATCTCAGGGCGATCAAATATCAGCAATTGGGAAAAATGTTATCTTGTTTTTATTTATATATATTTTTTTTCTAGTGTGAATTTTACAGAAATTTTTTAATGAAAAAAAAAAGAATTAAACTGGAAAATTTGTCAGACATCTGTCAGAATTAAATTTTTTTTTTTTTTTAAATGTGAATTTTTCTACTGATCTCGGTAGCAGGGAGTAAACTTTGGCTTGAGAGTGCTTGAAAAGTGGAGCAGAAGCTAGCAGAAAAATAGACCTAATAAGACATTATTTTATGTAAAACTCATTGTCAGCAACAATTGATCCCTTTAACTTTTCCCCGTGATATGGTAATGCAATGAGTGAGCTGAGTTTCTATTCCAGACTGATTTTTAAACCAATTAACAGGAACGGTACATTATACTGTACTAATAACATATCACTGTCGTGAGTTCACGTGATGCAAGGTGCAACTGACCCTTAAACATGTCCCTGCACCCTTTGTTCTCATTATGCACTGACCTCTAACGTCTTTAGTTAGTGCCACTGCCAACAAAGAGTTAATGTCCATGAGAATGCTAATGAGCTGCAAAGCGCTTCACGCTGGCTCATTGTTATTAGGAATTGGCCAGAACAAAAGGGCGAGCATTTGAAATCTGGGGCAGACATTCATTGAGGCAAAGGCACAGCTCTTAAAAAAGCGAGACAAGAACAAAGTATACATGGAAAATAAAAGGGGTGGAAGGACCCTTATGTATAATTCTGTGAAGCGGTCTTTTTAGCATTGGGTGTAATTCAGTAGACTATTGATCATCCCTTGCCAGGAATTGTTCTTTCTGCTATAAAAGAGGCACAGTCACTGTCCCTGAATCCAGCTACAGTGCAGATATGGAAAGGCCAGGTTTGGCGCTTAAGGCAAAAAATCTGTTTCATTCTTTGGCTCCTACAGTCGATGACTTAGAACAGTAGAACAATATTTAAGTTTAGCACTGGAGAGATTTGTGAGCCACACTGTCTCTAATTCTCGGCATGCTGTAAACTGTTAATTGAGCATCATGGGAAATACAGTTCTCAACAACTTGCGTGCCAGAGATGATTCATCCCTCAGGGTTACTGGCTAAAGTATAAATTGACAAGAATTCAATAAATTAATTTAAAATTTTAGCCGATAATAGTGAATCTGAAAAATTCTCCAAGTCAGATTTGTTTTCAGTTCTGACATTTTGAACTAAACATGTTAAATTCACATTGAATTCCAGACAATTCATATTCGGTCATTAAAAATTACATTTAGTCGTGATTCTTTCTGTGTTGCTCAGCATTATGTCTGAAAAAGTAACATAGAGTCTGTATACAAAGGACAAAATAAAACACATCTTTATTCACAGCTGAAGTCAAAATGGAATATTTCTTATGCAAAATACTTCGCCAAATACCGATGGCTGTTTTTGAGCTTGTATTATACTTTTTGCCCAGTATTACAATAAAAACACAATGCACCATGGGTAGGTTATTTATATTTCACATGATTTTGCATACGCAGAACACCAAATTCCTGTCATCCTTTGTGTACTCACCTTCTAGACTCAGGGTCCTCTCGGATGGCTTCCGAAGTAAAGTACGAGTGTAGCAGGCAAAGCAGAAAGCAGCTTGTATTCAGAGCAAGACACAGAGCAGCCAGAACTACGGAGGCTGGCAGTAGAATCTTGCCAGCTGCTGGGCCCAATCCTGCCGTGTGGTCCCCCTGTTTCACAGTGGTTTGAACCTGGAAGATTAAAATGACCGAAAGAGACGCCATGATGGCAGCCAGGACGCCAAAAAGAGCTAGGACGGTTAGGGACTGCTGACTGTAATGGGATGGCATGGTGTAGATCTGCAGTAAACTATGGTTTTTAAGTTTACTTTAAAACTGAAGCAAGTCACAGATTGTAGATGGTCCAAATGTGTTCTACTCAATCCAAAATAGAATCTATCTTTTGTAACAAATAAATTAAATCCCTCCGACACACAGCTTCTGTTCTCTAAGTCTCAGCAGATTCACAGAATGGGTCATTTTCTACAGTCTTCAATTAACTTAAAAATACAAGAATGTTCTATAAACGGAGATTTATCATATTTGACTTCCTTAATAATTCCTAGATTAATCTTACACTAAAAGGTCCTGTACAATTGCCCCAATATAAATTATATTCAAAATCAAACCGTCTATTAAACAAACTAACCTGTCATAACCAGGTTTCCAAATACAGCTATTACTAGTCGAAGTTAATATAAAAGAACTTAAAAAAAACTTACTACAATTTTACTTTTGTTTTTTTTCTCAAATGTATAAAAGTACAATCCACACTAAAATATCAAAAATGCTCACACTGACTGCAATTTAAATAGTTTGCTAAAAATTTAAGTATTTTTTTAAAGTAAATTTATAACAAAAAGCATCAAAAGGTTATCTGCAGGCAAAACTGTTGTACACAGATAATAATTCATATGGCAGTAAAACACCAGACAATAATCTCAAATTCTGTTCCACCACAAAAAAACATGCTGACATATTTTATCCTTTCATCAATACAACACTTCCATCTCTTTGCATCTCCCTTGTGAAGACACAGACATATAGCTTCTGCACTCAAGATAAACTTAAGTTTCTTACCCCACCTGATAGTTATGTCCTGTGAAACCAACTTTTTAACCTTCGCAATGCCTCCTGAAATATTGGCTCTTGGAATATTTTTGAAATAAAGGTTATTGGTAGTAAATGTGGGGTCCTCCTAAATAGATTGCAGCAGTCCCCAGTTTCTTAGAAACAGTGCAGTGTCCGACAGGATAAAAGAAAGAATCTTTGAATTGTTTTGTTCAGGAGAAGGAGGGGGAAGGGGCGGGAGTTTCAACCGTTTTTTAACCTCCTTTGCTGCCTGAGTTCTCTTTTGTAGCAAATTGATTTGTATCATTCGAATTTCCAATTAGCCTTTAGGATGTTGCCTGTCATTTGGGTGAGAGATGTAATATTTCAGTTTCCTCACATTTTGTTTTGTGTTATGTGAAATTATTACTATGTGATTAGTTGACAGCTTTGATTTACATTTTTTAAGAGTAAGAGTCACAAAGTTCTTATTTATGATCAGGAAAAAAAAATGATTTGGCGGAAAAGAAGTTATCAGGTGCATAGCTCCTGCCTGGTAAATGTAGTTGGAAAATTCATTCATGTTAATGCCGCTTTAACTGTTTCCAGATGATAAAGTGGAGTGGTGGCCCATCTGACTGTAGAAAAATAAAAAAAATTTCCAGAAGAAATCATGCCTTCATAACATTTTTGATGAAGGTCCCTTTGAACTGAAACGTTGACCTTCTCTACTCCCAAGTGTAATGAAGAATCTTTGGGTTCTGCTTTGTTCTTTAGTGATATCTGGCTTCTCCTGCTGAAGAAGACTGGATGCAAAGGAAGCAGTACAGGTGTCCAGCAAGACAGAAGTAAGTTATGAAACCATGCTAATACATGACACAAACTGTTACAGAGGGCTGGAGTGCCCTTTTATCTAGATACACACAATTAATTTTTTTTATTAAGAATACAGTAAGTCATACTTGGATTTTCGTTGACAATTATCACAGCTTGGATGAACATTGGAATAAGCCAATCAACAACCACTTATTGGAGAATATCTCAAATACAGTATGTTCTCCGATTGAGTTGCCTCTGCAAAATTATATTGTGGACGGGACATTATATGCACCCAGACCTCTTCAGCTCATTGAAGTGGTCTGGGTGCAGTGACCCAGGTCCCATAACCCTGCAATGATAATTATTGCAGTTTCTGATAAAATGCAATAATGGCCTGCCAGTGTTAACTTCACCTCTAGTGGCTGTCTACCACATCTTGCAGCCATTTAGTAGGTAGCCCTCTAAATCCAAAAAATAATAATAATACCCCAGTAACACACAACACCAGTGGTAATAAAGGAAAACAAGCAATAATATGACAGTAAGTACTGAGAAGATTCCTCTGAATCTTCAAAAAAATGCAAATATAGATAAAAACACAGCCTACAAAATAAAAGTAGAGAGAGACCACAAATGGGTCAGATAAAAAAAACACCATGGGAAACTGAAAACTCAGATGCACTTACAAGAGTAAAGTGAAAAATAGGCAGAACATGTAAACCAGGATCAGACTTCTTTCCTTCTCTTTTCCCAAATTTCTTGTGCTTATTAAGGGAAAAAGAGAAATACAAAACATAGTGCAAAACTGTATAACACAAAAGAATACTTTATTTAAGTTGCACTCACAAGAGAGTAAGAAGTTAAAAGCCCATCACAATCGCAAAATATCTTCTGTGTCCCAGGGAGAATTCCCTTGGATACACCAGGAACTAGAAGTGTGCGAGTAAGAGTAAAACAATAAAATTAGATAGCAAATAAAGTTGTCCAGCCAGCCTACGCGTTTCATCTTCACATCGACTTTGTCAGGGGCATCCAGCTTGTGCAATACAGTTCTGCCTTGTTCCTGCATTTAAAAGTCTTTCCTGCTCCTCCCGGCAGGGCCGGATTAACATAGGGGCTGATGGAGCTGCAGCTCCAGGCCCAAGCCCATGAAATAGGCCCATTGATTTAAAAAAAAAGTGTTTTTGTTTTTTTACACACTACTTTTAGGGTTGCCAGGTATTTCTCAGGTATTTCTTAGGGTTGCCAAGTATTTCTCAGAAGTATTTCTCAGGTATTTGAGGCTGCCTAGCCGGTGCCAGTATTGCAGTAATACTGGTAATACAAATGTCAGTCTCAGTATAAACAGAGATTATTCTGCAATACCAGCATCAGCCAGTAGGGGTCGCTGTGTGTGTGTGTGGAGAGAGGCAGAGATAAGAAGTTACAGCATCTCCCTCCCTGCTCTACTCACTGATCCGTCCAGACAGCAGCTCTGAGCCTGCAGAGACAGTGAACAACTCAGGTAAGCGTGGGATGGGGGCAGGGCCGGATTAACATAGGGGCTGATGGAGCTGCAGCTCCAGGCCCAGGCCCATGGAATAGGCCCATTTAAAAAAAAAAAAAAAATTTTTTTTTTTTTTTACACACTAATCTTAGGTTTGCCACCTGACTGGTATTTTAATGGCACAGGCGGTATTTGAGGCTGCCTGGCCGTGCCGGTATTGCAGTAATACCAGCAATACAAATGCAGGTAATTTTCTCAGAATAAATGGAAATTACTCTGCAATACCAGCACCGGCCAGTAGGGGTCACTGTGTGTGGAGAGAGGCAGGGATAGGAAGTTACAGAATATCCCTGCCTCTCTCTACTACTCACTGATCCGTGGGGGAGCAGCTACACAGCACAGGGAGTCCAGACAGCAGCTCTACAGCTCAGGTAAGTGAGGGATCGGGGGAAAGGCAGCAGGGACACATGGGGACACTGAGACACTAGGGGACACATTGGGGACACTGAAACACTAGGGGAAACATGGGGACACATACACTAGGGGACACTGAGACACTAGGGGACACATGGGGACCCTTAGACACTAGGGGACACAGACACTAGGGGACACATGATGACACATACACTAGGGGACACTGAGACACTAGGACACAGACACTGGGAGACCTGGGAACACTGAGACACTTGGGGACACTGAAAAACATGGGGACACTTGGGGACATATGGGAACACAGACACTAGGGGACAATGAGACACTAGGACACACATGGGGACACTGCCACTAGGGGACACTGAGACACTAGGACTCATGGGGACACAGACACTGGGAGACCTGGGGACACTGAGACACTAGGGGACACTGAGACACATGGTGATGCTGAGACACATGGGGACGCTGTGAGACATAGGGACATTGGGAGACATTGGGACATGGAGACACTATGTCCCCCAGCCAGTGTCCCTAGTGTCTCAGTGTCCCCAAGTCTCCCAGTGTCTGTGTCCCATGTCTCTCAGTGTGCCTAGTGTCCCCATGTGTCCCAGTGTCCCCATGTCCATGTCCACAACTGTCCCCATGTCTCCCCAAGTGTCTGTCTCCCAACCAGTGTCCCCTAGTCTCCCAGTGTCCCCTAGTCTCCCAGTGTCCCCTAGTCTCCCAGTGTCTGTGTCCCTAGTGTCTTAGTGTCCCCATATGTTTCAGTGTCTCCATGTCTCCCAGTGTGTTCCTAGTGTCTCAGTGTGCCTGGTGTCCCCATGTCTCCCAGTGTCCACATGTCTATGTCCACAACTGTCCCCGTGTCCCCAAGTGTCTGTCTTCCAGCCAGTGTCCCCTAGTCTCCCAGTGTCCCCTAGTCTCCCAGTGTCTGTGTTCCCATGTCTGTGTCCCTAGTGTCTTAGTGTCCCCAAATGTTTCAGTGTCCCCATGTCTCCCAGTGTCTGTGTCCCTAATGTCTCAGTGTCCCCATTTCTCCCAGTTTCCCTAAATGTCTCAGTGTCCCTGGGTCTCTCAGTGTCCCCAGTATCCTAGTGACATGGGGACACACTGAGACACTGGGAGAAATGGGGACACAGACTCTGGGAGACTAGGGGACTGGGCGACACAGGGACACTGACACTGTGATACATAGGGACACTGAGACACTGGGTGACTTGTGAGACTGAGACACTGGGAGACAGGGAGACACTGGGAGCAATCCATCTATACAGCAGAATCAAACTGTGAGTAGTTTGGTGATTTTATAGAATTTTCTCTGATGTCACTCCTTGTAATTTACATCATGTGATGTCACGCATAACTAATTATACAAATTATTAAGGCTGGTATTTTTTTCCAAGAAAGGTGGCAACCTTAACTACTCTTCACATACTCTTGCTTAAAGAAGCACTATAGGGTCAGGAACACAATCATGTATTTCTGACCCTATTATGTTAAAACCACCACCCTGGCCCCTTCTTGCCTCCTTAAATATAGTAAAATATTACTTGTATTAAATTCTGCAGCTGCTGGCTCAGAAGTGGTGGTCTGAGCAAATTACAATACTTCCCCATAGGACTGGCTGAGACTGTCAACTAGGCAGATCAGGGGCAGAGCCAGCACAAGTCCAACATAGCCCTGGCCAATCAGCATCTCCTCATAAAGATAAATTGAATCAATGCATCTCTATGAGGAAAGTTCAGTGTCTACATGCAGAGGGTGGAGACACTGAATGGCAGTGCTGCACACTAGGCAGTACTGCCCCAGGGAGCACCTCTAGCAGCCATCTAAGGAGCAGCCAATGGTGTTATTTTCTCTGAAAAGACAGTTTTTACTGCAAAAAGCCTGAATGAAATGATTCTACTTACCAGAACAAATACAATAAGCTGTAGTTGTTCTGGTGACTATAGTGTCCCTTTAAGTTTAGAAGCTTAAGAGGGATGTATTGGAACAAAACTTGTGTGCACTTGCTGACATTAAAGTTAGTTTAGGTAATGCAGACGTTGGTCTCTCTAACACTGTGGCATGTCCCCTTTCTTCTACACTCACTACAGACATCTTTTCTCTGTCTCAGACTATATACCAGGAACTTCTGCCTGCTAGTAAGAAGGTAAGGAGACAAGTGGACCAGCGAGTGCTATGGGACAGTCCTTTGAAAGAATGGAATGAGCGCATCATTAGACACATTTATGTCAAGCTCAAGGTGCTGCCTGCATAGTATGCCCTTAGTTGGACAGCCTGCAGGATTGGCAGGCAGCCTGACATGCATTCATGCCAGGCTGACCTTCCAATTCTTTAGACAAACATTCCCCTTTTTGGGCATGTTCACCCCTTTTGGCAGGTCTTTTCACGTGATTCGTGCCAGTGGCACACCCTTTTACACCGCTCATTGACTTCCTGCTTCACTGGACACTGCTGTTAAGGGTTATGGATTTACTTGAAAGATGAAATCATAAATTAGAGAGGGATTAGCATAGAGTATGTGTTTTCTTATAGCTGCATCCTATGAGTTTCCCTCCAGCACCATCTCCATCAGATACATGACTCTTGGGAGGTATGACTGTTTTAGTGTTTTTGGTCAATAAGATTCCGTAATTAGGCCCATCATAATTGTCAGCACCAGGCCCACTGTGCTCTTAATCCGGCCCTGGATGGGGGGAAAGGCAGCAGGGAGACATGGGGACACAGGCACTAGGGGACACTTAGAGACCTTAGGGTACACTGAGACACATGGGGACACAGTGAGACATGGGGACACTGAGACACTAGGGCACTGGGAGACCTGGGGACACAGATACTAGGGGAAACTGTTAGAGACATAGGGAAACTTGGTGACACTGAGACACTAGGGGGCACTTGGAGACCTGAGGACACTGAGATACTAGGGGAAACATTGAGACATTAGGACACTAAGAGACATGGGAACACCTCAAGTGTCTGTGTCCCCAGGTTTCCCAGTGTTCCCTAGTATCTCAGTGTCCCAATGTCTCTCAATGTCCCCTAGTGTCCTAGTGGCATGGGGACACTGGGAGACATGGGGACGCAGACACTAGGGGACTGGGAGACATGGGGACACAGACATGCGCCCTTTTTGGGTATATTCGCCGCTTTCGGGAGTTTTGCTTATGTGATTTGCATCAGCGGCCCACCCTTTTACCCCGTCCATAGACTTCCTGCTTTACAGGACACTGCTGTTAGGGGGTATTGATTTACTTGATAGATGAAAGCATGCGATTAGCATAGGGTATGTATTTTCGAATAACTACATCCATCACCATCTCCATCAGATACATGACGCTTGGGAGCTAGGACTGTTTTAGTGTTTTTGCTCGATAAGATTTTGTAATTAGGCCTATCATAATTGTCAGCAACAGGCCCACTGGGCTCTTAATCTGGCCCTGACTATAGATGATTATCTTTGGTTTATGTTTGGATAGTTAAAGCTATTGTCTTTGAATAAGTAAAGCAATGTTCCTCTCCCAAACCATTTCAAACAATTAGAGTCATTTTGATGAAATTGTCACTGGAAAATAAAAATAAAATCATTAAAAAAAACAAAAAAAAAACAATATTATACAGACTTATTTTCATATACAATTTATAGTTATAGACAACTATTAAGGATAAATAAAGCCAAGACATTTGATGTGCCTATTTACTTTATAAGGATACCACTAAGCAGTGATGTCATCATGCATCATAATAATCTGAGAGTATCTAACAAGAGTTTGAACAATCTGAAGCCAGTCAGTGTGGAGCTGGGACTACAGGGTAAACAGGAACTCATCAGAACAAACCAAAACCTTCTGGATAATCTGCTGCATGGACCTGAAGAGGGTGGTAATTTATGGGGTAAATAATTCATATGAAATACATTGAATACAGATCCAGGGACAGACTTGTAACCGATCGCCTTAATATGGGGTCAGGAAGGAATTTTTTACTTGGATATTTTACCCATTGTATGTCCAAGTTTTTTCGCCTTCCTCTGGATCACTAATTCACTAAATATTGAATTGCAGCAAATGTATCTGACCAGTTTATTCAATAAACACCAAATTTTATCCACATGTGTTTTTGTATTTTTGTAACTCTTAAAATAATATATATATATAAAAGCTTGGTACAAATGTATTAAAGACAAACACTCTAAATAAAATTAGAAGACTGGATTCATTATATAGTTACTTTTTAATTACGTAGGTTACAAAAATACATTTCAAACACCTTAAAAAGGGGATATAATATTTAATTGATGGATTGCCATATATAACTGACACTAAATATATATTATCCTTATGCTTCTGTAAACATGCAGTCACAAATATAGTGCCATGTCCCAATAGTAGGGAAAAAGCATATTATGATTTCTAATAATAATAAGTCCATTCTGACCACATCTCATCACATTTTAAACCACAGTTTTGCACTATATATTTTTTTATAATCAAACATGGCAGCATTTACTCATGAGTTAGCTCCTCCCCTCCCAGCAAAAAGGACAGGAAATAGAACTCTGAAATTGGTATAAATAGAGTGATCCCCTCCCCAACAGACAGTCTTTTTTTCCTGTCCTTCACAGCAGTTTGGAAGGAGTCTGCTTAAGCAGGCCTAGATTTTTCTTCTATGCTCACCAGGCCAGTATTTTTGTGTCCCTGCCAGGGTTTAGCCTCTAAACCCTGAAGACCCAGCAACAGCACATCTCTATGAGTCACCAGCCTTGGTACCTCCTTTACTGACCAGGGGTCAGACCCACTCTCTCCCTCAGGGGATGAAAGCGGTCCACTCTATACATGCCAAGGTTCAGCCTCTTATCACTGAAGACCCAGCAACATCACATCTCTATGAGTTGCTAACCAGGGTACCTCCTTTCGTGACCGGGGGTCAGACTCAATCGCTCCCTCAGGGGATGAAAACAGTCCATTGCATACATGCCAGGGTTCAGCCTCTAATCCCTGAAGACCCAGCAACAGCATATGTCTATGAGTTGTTAGCCTGGGTAACCCCTTTAGTGACCCGGGGTCTGACTCAATTCCCTCCTTCAGAGGAGGAACAGTGTTCATACATGAAGCCATGCCAGGGTTCAGCCTCTTATCTCTGAAGACCCAGCAACAGCATATGTCTATGAGTTGCTAGCCTGGGTAACCCATTTAGTGACCTTGGATCTGACCCAATTCCCTCCTTCAGAGGAGGAAAGCGATCCATATATGAAGCCATGCCAGGGTTCAGCCTCTTATTCCTGAAGAACCAGCAACAGCATATCTTTATGAGTCGCTAGCCTGGGTAACCCCTTTAGTGACTGGGGGTCTGACCTAACTCTCTCCCTCAGGGGATGAATGTGGTCCACGGTATACCTGAGGCCCATCCAGGGTTCAGCCTCTTATCCCGGAAGACCAATCTCTATGAGTCGCCAGCCTGGGTACCCACTTTTGTGACCGGGGGTCAGATCCAATCGCTCCCTCAGGGGATTAAAGCAGTCCATTGTATACATGCCAGGGTTCAGCCTCTTATCCCTGAAGACCCATCTCTCTGAGATGCCAGCCTGGGTACCCTCTTTAGGGAACAGGGCTCTGACCCAACACTCTCTCTTACGGGATGACAGTGGTCCACTGCAAACATGAGGTCAAATCAGGGTTCAGTCTCTATCAACTTTCTATGCCACTTTCTGTGCCTACCATGGTGACCACGGGTAACGGGGAATCAGGGTTCGATTCCGGAGAGGGAGCCTGAGAAACGGCTACCACATCCAAGGAAGGCAGCAGGTGCGCAAATTACCCACTCCCGACACAGGGAGGTAGTGATGACAAATAACAATACAGGAGTCTTTAGAGGCCCTGTAATTGTAATGAGTCCACTTGAAATCCTTAAACTATGATCAATTGGAGGGCAAGTCTGGTGCAGAGCGACTGACCCGTGTGTGCTGCAGCTGAAACTCCACTATCAACTGCTGCTGCTGCTCGCACAGTCTCTCCAGCATGTGCAAGGTGGAGTTCCACCTTGTGGGCACGTCGCATATGAGGCGGTGAGCGGGAAGGCCGCAGCGCAGACAGGCAAGCAGCAGCAGGGTGAGAACGCCGAAAGCATGCACAGCCGCTACAGTGAATGTCACATCCTGTTCCAAGTTGCGGATCAGTCTGGTGATGGCTTCTGGTATCCAGTACTCTTTTTACTGAAGCTGCATCAGGGTCCTGGTATGTGGCCGCACAAACGCTGGTGCTCAACACCAGGGGGCGTGCGGTTACCCTGCACCAGACCCTGCTAATCTATTCCACACTGTGACTCCTAACTTCAACATCAGGCATACTGGGTCCCGGTCGTCCGACCGCCGCCCAGATAGTTTCTGAGTCCCGGTCACCGGACTGCTCCCCTCAATGTGAAACTTTGATTGGCTCGTTAAATCTGGTATGAACCAGAACTTCGCAGTTCAGGTTTGCTCAACTCTATTTTGGATCCTTTGATCGCTCCATCTGTTACTTGGATAACTGTGGTAATTCTCGAGCTAATACATGCCGATGAGCGCTAGGGGACAGCCACTCCACTTTTGCACCCTGCTCCCTCTTTTGCTGTGCTGGTGCCTCTGTGCGACCAGCGCCTCTTCCTCCAAACTGCACACTTCACTCGCATGACCTTGATTCCATGTGGGGTCTAGGACCTCATCATCTTCCACATCATCTTCCACCCACTCCTTAACCCTGCCCTCCTTGCTGGTCTGCACACTGCAGAAAGCCACAGCAGTTGGCACCTGTGTTTTTCCAGCATGTAAACTCTGCAAAGGACACATGGGAATTGTTTTAGAATTGTATCCAGGCAACAGTTTTCCCTATAAACTGACCTCTCAGTTTGACTTGTGAGGGTATTGCCCACCGAATTACAATGTTGTTATATTGGTATTTGACAGCTCTATTTGACTGTCAGATATGAAGTGCAGGCCGCAAATGTACTATTTAGCACCTACAAAAATTTGAATTGGTCAAACTGCGCTGTAACCACAGTATTTGACGGTTCTATTTGACACTCAGATATGAAGTGCACACCCCAAATTTACTTTTTATCACCCAAAACAATTTGTATTTTCAAAGTGTGCTGAAAGCACAGTATTAGACTATTCTATTCTATTTGACTCTCAGATATGAAGTGCACCGCAGGACGCAAATGTACTATTCAGCATTAGCACCCAAAACAATTTGAATTTTTCAAAGTGCGCTGTAAGCACAGTGTTTGACGGTTCTATTTGACTCTCAGATATGAAGTGCACCACAGGACGCAAATGTACTATTTAGCATTAGCACCCAAAACAATTTTAATTTTTCAAAGTGCGCTGTAAGCACAGTGTTTGACCGTTCTATTTGACTCTCAGATATGAAATGCACCGCAGGACGCAAATGTACTATTTGGCATTCGCACCCAAAACAATTTGAATTTTTCAAAGTGCGCTGTAAGCACAGTTTTTGACGGTTCTATTTGACTCTCAGATATGAAGTGCACAACCCAAATTTACTTTTTATCACCCAAAACAATTGTAATTTTTCAAAGTGCGCTGAAAGCACAGTATTTGGCAGTTCTATTTGACTCTCAGATATGAAGTGAACCGCAGGACGCAAATGTACTATTTAGCACAAAAAAGTGTGATTTTTAAAACCAACAATATAACAGTAGTATTTAAGAGTTTTATTAGACGGCAAGAAATGCAGTATGCAAATGTACTATTTAGCACCCAAAAAATTACAGTATTTAAAAATGCCTAGATGTTGCCCACTGAGCTACCAGAACAGGATTAAAGTCATGTGCCTGGCACACATGCAGTTGCAAGTGCACTGCACTCTCTGTGGCATTGGGCTCAGGGCAGGGTACAAAAATGTAGTATAGCACCCACTAAAATAATCGCTGTAGTTTGAATAATCGCTGTAGTTTGCAGATTCAACACCAGAATTCTTTCCTAATCTGTCCCTAACAGCTGCAGCATCCTCTCCCTACACTAATAAGAGCTCATGTCCGTGCGGCGCTACGCGACTCCAGCTTATATATAGAGGCTGGGTCAGAGCCTGCACTGGCCAATCACAGCCATGCCATTAGTAGGCATGGCTGTGATGGCTTCTAAGGACAAACGAGTCAAACGCTTGTTGATTGGCTGCCCTGCAGCCTTTCAAAACGCGCCATTAAATCTCCAAACACCGAACTCCAACCCGAACATGCACTGAAATGTCTGTGTTGGGGTCCGGGGTCCAAAAACCGTAATGTTCGGTACAAACACGAACTTTGCTGTTCGGGTTCGCTCAACTCTACTGATAATGCAATGATGCATTTTACAAAAGAGTGCTGATAATGCAATTTACAAAAGAGCACTGATAATGCAATGATGCATTTTACTAAAGAGTTCTGATAATGCAATGATGCATTTACAAAAGAGTGTTATTAATGCAATTTACAAAAGTGCTGATAATGGATATCCTGGTTGTATAAAGTCTGCCTGAATACCACAGTCCTGGAGGCCAATATTCTCAGTAACAGAGAGCTTCCCTGGGTGACTGAGCCAATTGTACCTGTACACCCAGTGCATATCAAGGGTGAGTGATTGCGTAGTGATAATATATACTTACAAGCAAGCGCTCCACTCATTTACTGATGTTGGAGTCGTTATCAGGTCACACAGTATAAGATCTTTTTTGTACAGTTCTGGTGTGGTGTGAGGAACGAACCAATCCAAATGTTGTAGCAGCTTATTCTATGTATCTTTTTCTAATTCATTATTTGTTTGTAAGAGCCTCTTTTATCACAGATAGGTTCTATAACATTGTCTCCATACTGTAATGAATAACCCTGTGAATATTCAAATTCACTCAAAACAGCCAAGTTGTGACTAGTTACTCTACCCACATTTTGCCATCAGACTTTAATTTGCTACAAATCAAAATGTAATGATTAAAACTGTTCATGAAGATTTTTTTCCTTTTCTATAAAAGTTTTTTTCCTTCATTATAAATAAATTAATTAAATTAAAAGAAAATATTTTTTTATCGATGATGTTTTTTCAATGTAATATACTACATAAGTCAAACACCAGAGCCACTACAACATGGTTATTGTACCCAGGGCAAGATTAGCATAGGGGCTGATGGAGCTGCAGCCAGGCTGTCCATCTAATTCCTCGTGCAGACACACTTCTTTTGGGGCATGTTTGTCCCTTTGTGCGGTTCTCGTTACGTGATTCACACACCCTTTTACCCCGCCCACCAAATTCCTACTTCACTGGACACTGCTGCTAAGGGGTATGGATTTACTTGAAAGATGAAAGTGAGAGATTAGCATAGGTTTTGTGTTTTCTGATAGCTATATCCTCTGAGTTTCCCTCCAGCACCACCTCCACTAGATACATGACGTTTGGGAGGTATAATTGTTTTAGTATTTTCTGTCGATAATATTCTGTAATTAGGCCCATCATAATTGTCAGCACCAGGCCCGATGGGCTCTTAATCTGGCCCTGCCTCCCGGAATGCCTTAGAGCCAATCGGGGAAGAGCATGTAATGTATTTCACCTGGTATACTTGATTATCCATCTGCGTATCAAGCCTCATTCTCGCATTGCTGGTACTTGATTATCCATCTGCATGTCAAGCCTCATTCTCGCATTGCTGATCACATCATCACGTTCCGGTCACGGAATCCCACAAGTATCAGAAAGCTAGCTTAAAAAGTTGAAAGACAAATTTTACTAAGTGAAAAAATCTTAATATTAGTAAATAAGGGAGGTTAAAATCTCCCTCCTGCCTCTACTCACTGTTTCCTGAGATGGGACATGTCTACTAAGAAGCGAGCAGCCACTAATTCAATAAAGGAGGATCTGATACAGGTCCCCAATGGAGGGGAGAGAGGGGCACTAAGGGACAGAGGGGGTGTATTAAGGATCACTATGGGACAGGGGTGGTAGAACACTATGGGACAGGGGTAGGGGTGGTAAGGAACACTATGGGGGAGGGAGGTGTAAAGGAACACTATGTAAGGGGGGTGGTAAGGAACATTATGTAAGGGGGGGTGTTAAGGAACACTATGGGACAGGGGAGGGGGGAAGAACACTATGGGACAGGGGAGGGGGTGAAGAACACTATGGGACAGGGGAAGGGGGAAAGAACACTAGGGGGGAGAGAAGAACATTAAGGGAGGACACTAAGGTACAGGGGAGGGAAGGGAAATGAAACACTGGGTTGGGGGGGGCACTAAAAGAGAAGAGAGAGGAACAGGGGAATGGGGGGAGCACTAGGGGACAGGTAAGGGGGGGGAGGAGGGGAGTTCCTACTGCACATATTTACACACAAACACACTGCGTCCACAAAATAAACACACACACTGAATCCACTACCCACACTGCATCCACTACACAAACACACACACACACTGCATCCACTACCCACACTGCATCCACTACACAAACACATTGCATCCTCTAGCCACACTGCATCTACTACACAAACACACTGCATTCACTACACAAACACACACACTACATCCACTACTCACACTGCATCCACTACCCACACTACATCCACTACACAAACACACACACACTGCATTTACTAATCAAATACTCTCACTGCATCCACTACACACTCAAATAAATATTCTTGAAAACTTAAAAAAAAATCTGAATGGCATGTATATTTTGTGCATTTACCACTTAATAAAAAAAAATCGAATACAGTAAATGTACAGAATATCGGTAAGCTATTGGCTATCAGCCTGAAAGTTCACAGATTATCGGCTCTAAAAAAATCAATATCATTTGATCCCTACAATTTAGCACAATATTTAAGCAATTGCAAAACACTAATTAGTCTTTTCAGGTAACGTGATTCTTTACCAGACAAAGGCAGAACTTAAAAAAGGAATATTTATTATGAGCAAAAAATAGTCACAGAGCATACAAAAAATAGATGATAAACAAATT